TTCCCAAAACGCTTACCCTATCTATGACCAAAATCTGCGATATTCCCTACCCTATTTATGACCTCACCAAAAATTCGAAACCCTATTTATGACCTAACGCTTAAATCAAAACTCTGTTTCAGACCTGCGTTATAATTGGTTTCCTAGTTCAGACCAATGTTAAATTACCGTAAACATAATTTGTGAATGGCTTTTGTTGATTTTCTCAGTCTTCGATAATGATAAAAAAAAAGTGGCTTCTTGTTAAAAAGATACCCATATCAAGGTTACAGTGCAAAGACCATACCCTATTCATGACCAAAATGGCCAAAATCAGCTTAAATCGATACCCCATTTATTACCAAAACGGTTGAAAAACCATACTCTTTGGGGCCTCACATAACTATGTAGCCCATATACTGAATGGGATGTCGGTGGTGATATTCGTGGTGAAGATGATATACGATTGACAATGATTCACTTATTTGCATTGTGTCGTTGGGGCTCTATATATAGTGAAATACACATCCGACGTTCTGTTTCAAAATTGATGTCATATCCATGCCTCTTTTGTGCATTGGTGTTTTCCTTTCTCTTGTACGAATTATGTTGCAAAAGAATTGAATACAACAAAATATGTCTCAATAGACTGTTATTTTCTTCGTTCATGTCCATTATTTGTACGAGACGATTTACGGAAGAACGTTTTGCTAAGCCAAGCTCGATGCCATGTTTCCCCTTCCAGCGTCAGCTGTAGCTAGGTAATGGCAATATCCCTTTCATTGCAGTTCACGCTGGTTAAATATATACTTCTTCTCATATTTCAGGTCATCTCTGAGCCTAAGAAATCCCAAATATTGCAATTTCAGTTGCGGTGGCACATCAAAAACATTGAGATCTTCAAAAAAATTATTATAGCAGAATTGCTTCTTAAGAGCAGGTGCATTTTGTTGTTTAAAATCGACTGACTGATGTCACATAGCGTCGACGTTTTAAATGAAAACTGTTTTAATTGAAAATTGCGATTTTTTCACGAGTTAAATCAAATAGTCACTTGGTGACTTCCCATATCCACACTACAAATTTGTATTTCTTGTAAAAAGGTGCAAATATTGTTTTTACGACATAGCGGCACATCATGATCAGGCTTAATCACAACAATCTTATCCCAATGGTAATAACCAGTGAATAATAATTTGAACCGTGGCAACGTCTGTTGGTCCAAACAAGCGATAAGAAAAGGAAACTCCGTTGTGACACAAAGCAAACGTCCTACAGCGTTTTTCATTGTTTTGCTTTTTTATTCAACTCCTCGCGAAACGTGTTTAATATTAGCGAGCATGTTTAGCTTTTTTGTCAGTTCTGTTCAATTCGCCTTGATGTCTTTTTTGATGCCAAGGGCCAGCTCTTTTGCCGGTATGTTACTTTCTCCTTTCAGTACTGTTGCCTTGTTTTCCAACTTATTTTCAAAGGACGACATTTATTTTGCATAGGGCTTTTAAATTTGTTTAGGTTACACGTTTTGACTCTCGACACTGAGAAGGGAAGTCATGTCCACCGAAAACTGCGATAAAAAGCAGAACATTCCCATTCCAGCTGTCTCCTCAACCTATTAGCGATGGTGAATACAAAAGTTACGGCAAATAATGTTAAAGCCTACCGAATGGACCCGACTACGTAACCTGGTTTTTAAGCCAGTATGAGCTAGTGTGTTTTGTACAAATTTCTTTGTTCTTCACTTAAAGTTTCGAGCAACTCTACTTTCATAGGGGAACTTGGAATCTTGGTCCATTTACTGTTCATAGTTTTGTTTTCCCGGCGAGAAAAAACAAATTATGGGTTTAACATAATAAACGTCGTTCCGATTCCAAAATTTTGGGCAATTCGTTGGTATCGTTTTAATCAGTTTCGGGCTATAAAGTTGTTATCCGTTATATAACTTTGTCTTAATTGACAGTTATGGCAGTTGACGTGTGGCTATAATCTTTAAGAAAACAATTTCTCACTTTGTCGATAGTTTTACCAGAGTTTGCCTTGAACAATTAATCGGGCTCTACTGTCATCATCTATCGTCCTTAGTTTTGTATTAGTCTAAGAGTTACTGAGTGATATAATTGAGTGATATATTTATGGACCTGGCCAATATCCAGCTATCGTGGCCTCACACTTGGTCGATAATCCCAATAAAAACTATTATTTATTATGTAGTTCATTTCGCCACTAACAAGACAGTATGTGCGACAGAATAGCCCTTTTCACGGTTAACTTTTCTCGTTTGTGTTACAATGTAACTCCAGCAAGGAGTTGAGTCAATCTGTCGCAGACTCTACAAAATTACCCGAAATTTTCTCGCTTAAATTTTAGATTATATCGTAATACAAATGAAGAAAAGGTAACATGTAAAGGACTAATAACGGCTATTCATAGAAGACGGTGGGATTTCAGCTGGACTGGTTAATTACTGGTGTCCGAAGCCGCGGGTTGCTTTGTTCTAATTACGAAAAGGAAAATTTTGTTAGAACTCCCGCAAATTCCGCAATATAAGAGCAAATTGTATAATTAAAAAGAAAACAGATTTAGAATTGAAGTTTATTCTGCCACGGCAAAACGACAAGGAAAGCTACCGAGTTTCTTCTTTATTTTCTTCTCGTTCGTATGTCAACAGCCTTAATTCTTTTAATCCTATTGCACTTAATCTAACCCTCGGACGTACAAGGTAGGGGTGGCTGCCAAACACCCTCCCATACAACGATTTAATCTAAAATCCTGAAGCTTTCAGTACTTGTTCATTCATCCTATACGGAAATATTGATATGTCAATTGTTTATCTATGATATTGCCATGACGACGGCAAATCTTCGTGTACGTCTAACCAAACATCAGCACTTTTGATAATTCTCTGTTTTTCCTCNCTTATCGCCTGAAGAAGACTAGCAGTAAGCAGTCGAAACGTCGCGATCTACATCTCAAGTGACTACATCGTGAGACAAACGATAATACACGTTATTATTAGGGAATATGTTAATGTAAAATCAATTTTTAAAATGTGTAATTGAGGTCAATATAAAAAGCTAATTGCGTTCACCAACAGTAACACTATATCGAAAATATCATACTATAAAGAATGCAACGTGCAATCAATGCCAATAAAAACGTTTTTTACAGATCAATGTCGTGACTTGGAGTTCCGAGCCGACCAAACATTCCAAGGAAAACGTCTATTAAATCATGTGATACGTGTTCATGACGTCATGATGACAGATTTCTGTGATGCACTTGGTTACAAGGAACACAACTGTGCAAGTTATAATTTGATGAGGAGAAGTAAAAGTGAGAGACACAGATGTGAATTGAATAATGCTACTCATGAAGGGAATGAAAATGACTTGGAGGAAAACCCAGATTATATATACCGCGGAGCAAAGGTGAGAATTGATAAAATATTTCATTTTTAATCACAGATGGTTAGTTGCTGTTAATTCTGATTTCGAAATCTTTTAACTTTTAATGTAGCTGAGGTTGAATCTCATCTGAACTTTACCATGTAGCAGTACACTCTTGATATAACAACTCTACATAGTTCAACTATGTTAATAAAATGTTTAAGCAAGCAACTGGAACGATGATCCTGCTGGTGTACGTTGGATCAATAGTGATATAATCGGCTTTACATACAAAATGAAGAATACAAAAGCAAAAACCGACACAACGTAGGATGATTTTTGAAGGTGTACTATATTTCGGCTGACCAAACCAGCCTTCTTCAGGTACAATGGAAATTTTTACATTGGGACGTGTTTTTATGTAGCCGATATTTACCTAATACCGGAAATATTTAGCCCGTGCTTATTACTTTGTTCGTTAGCCTGGGTGAGGGTAAGTGGGGGAGTTTCTAGCTTTCTGTTTCCATCACCCCATATATCTTCAAAGTATTGACTTAAAAGTAATCAAACTTACATGGCATCCAAATCATCCAAATTTGTTTACCAATGCGGTAATCACGTGCGAAGCATTCCACTAAATGACATCACATTTCAAAAGTCCTGCGATATTGGATTTCACGAATAAACGAACAGGTCTTCAAATTTATTAAAGAGAACAATCTTAGAAAATGTAGGACCTGTAAAGATTTTGGAATGAAATAATTATGAAAAAAAGTCAAAAGGCTCACGAAAACAGATATTCAAAACACAAAAATGTCGCGAAACACGTTTAGAAAATATAGTTGCCATGGAAACGTCGTCATGGAAAGTCACGTGATCACACTATCGCCACACTAGAATGTTCCCTAATAAGTTTTAAGAAGAGTGTGGTATGCGTTGCTTGGGTAACAAAAAGTTGTTTAAGTTAAACTATCTGAGATGAACGCAGGCACTAGTGCCCAAGAAAGTGCCTGTTAATCCCAAAAGCTGCAGCCACACCGTTCACTGTTCGATTATAGAAAATTGGGGCATGAAAATGTTGTCCAGATATCTGGATTATGAATGACTTAATTTTTAAATGGCCAAACGAAAGTAGCCTGTCTAAGCTGTACGTCTTATCAGCATGGTGGTAATGTTTTGTTTGGTTGGTTTATTTTTGTCATCACGGAAGGTTCAATCAAGAATATTAGGTTAAATCCAATTTGATTTGGAAACAGTGGATGAAGAGCCACTTCGTGGAAATGCCACTGCAAATTCCCATTATTATTATTATTATTATTATTATTATTAATTTGTACAGAAACAAAAAAACAGTGCCAACTTTTAATTAAAAGCTCATATGGTGTTGTTCATTTTTGACATGGTTTTTGGTTGCCTATTTAGAGTGCCTGTCTTAATAACCCCCGCGAGAACAACGCAACCTGTCAAACCGGTTTTACCGAAAAAGGATACAGCTGTTTGTGTACTGCTGGATTCCAGGGTCAGGAATGTGAAAATGGTGAGTGAACAAAGTTGTTCAGTAGCAACAGAAACCTTAAGCAAACCACGACGACAATGGCAATGAGAACCTCGCTAAACAAACAGTAGCAATCTTTGCACGTTTATAAGCTGTCTTTTGCAAGACAACAACATAAAGCCGGGTTCAAACGTAGAAGTTGACGTTAATGATACTATTATAATTAGGTAAAGTAAAGTTCGACTTCTGAAGCAGTCATGATCGATATATTTGTATCTTGGTCGACCTTGCCGTTCTATTCGACTACGGCAGCCGAATAGAGCGACAAAAGTTCGACTTCGTTTCACACGTCGAGCTTTACGTATGCCGAATCTAATCAGCATGCATTACGGATACATATGATAAATTATATTTTACCTCAAAGATCTTGTGTGGAAATAGCTATTAAGTTCGGCGCCATTATGTTAAACGTCTCAATCTACTGTTCGCCTCTCATGGCTATTAGCTTGGGCACCATGTGAAGTTCGACGTCCGAACCAGGCCTAACATGACCACGTATTACGTATTTTGGAGAACTGAACGTTATCTGCGGGGACCGCCAATTTTTTTGTACTTCCATTTCGAACTGAACACTGCTGTTCGCTTGAGCAAGATTTAAGAGCGACGGACACGCCGAACTGATCAAGATAACTACGAAATTTGAAAGTGAAATATAATCTATGTGTTTGCGCTTATGCTTCTGTCGCTAGTGAAAGCAGGGCTTAAGCGTCATCGTCGTCATTATTAAGCCTCCAGCGTCTGTGCTGTGGTGCAAAATGATATATATGTACCGACCTATATATATATATATATATATATATATATATATATATAATTGAATAGGATGAGCAGGGAAATAATTACAACTAACTGCCTCATTTTATCTTTGGATCACCAACCTATTCCCTTCGGAAGGTGATTCACAGTGCTTTCTGACAAATATTAAATAGTAGTGTATCATGGGAACAGAAATCGAATCAACAAAGAAACGAGTGAAAATGTGTTCAGCCGGGAATCGAACCCAGGTCTCCTGGTTACCGCTCAGATGTCTTACCTTACTGTGAATCGCTGATCAACTTGAGCGGAGTGACGCGATCCTAACTGCAGAAAATGTTTGATTCTCCCTAGAGCCTGCTACTGAATGGTCCTCCCAGTACTTTCAAAACAGAGAGTAAAAGGAATCTCTTTCCCTTGCATACGGCAGGCAGCTATGAAGTTATAATTAAACAATCAACATTTAGTCAGAAGGAAGAATCTTTATCATCCTGATGTCACTAGTTTGTTAGCAGGAAAGACATTTAATTCGGGCCACTTTTCTCACTGAAGACCCCGTTGAATATTCACAAAAAGACCTCAAACCATAACAGATTGTGACAAATGAGAAATATGAAACATAACGTGCCTCTGAGCTTTAACTTTGGCGCTGAAACGTTGTCACCCGCGTCCGGCAACTCGCTCGCTAAGCGGTCGTGTCGCCAGTGTGCTAGTCTAAAAAAAAATACCTTGTTTTTAGTCAAGTTGCAGACAGAATTCTCGAGTTAAATATTAGTAGAGGCTAAAACGACTTAAACGCTGTGCTTTATGGTGTCGTTTCGGTAGGACAGTACAGTTTTGACTATTGCTCGATCTGCAAGTGCAGCAACCGTATACAAGTTTAGACAGATAGCTAGAGAATCTTTATTTAAACACGGTTAAAAATTCGTCAACTAAAACTACTAATAACTAATAGTAAAAAAAATAATAATAATTAAATAAAACAAGCTGCTCTCCACGGATGCCGTGACTTGTACATCTCTTTGGGTATCTCAATTTTTCACGTCACCTTCCAGTGACGCTCGTCATCCTGAGAAAACAGGGCCTGGCTGGGATGGTTTTATCAGAAACAGTTTTAAAAAAAAATCTTCAAAACAGGCTAGTAAAAATCTACTTTGTACATTTTACACGAAATGTATTTTCTTTTATGGAATTTAAAGTTGGATCACTTAACGCCCCAAAACATCTTTCCTAATAGTGTGTGCAGCAATACCGAAGGCTCATACAACTGCTCTTGTAAACCTGGATATTCTGGAGATGGACAAGTCTGTACAGGTGACATTTTACCTCATTAAAAAGCAAATAGACCTTATTACTAGGTGATGTCTTATTGATATACACAATAGAAAAGACAATTACGAAATATAAAAAAATAAAATGGAATAAACAAAAGGAGGAAGACAAGTTGAATTGTACAGAAAACGTAGCAAATATAAATAAAGAAAAGCAAGGGACCCAATGGGAGTTTTAGAAATTAATTAGGTGTGAAAAAATAATCCCACGTACCACTCTTTGG